AGCTCGTGCTCTTCCCAGCAAAGCAATGGCTGGGCCGTCAACCACAGGTTAAAAAGAAAGTGCTGAGAAAGTGTCTGCGTGGTAGCTCGGCTTGGCTGGAAGGGGTGGATCGAGTGCCAGGGCCCCGGTGTGGAAATAAGCACCTCTTTCTCTCCTCCAGCTTCCCTCCCTCTCCACCAGACCTCCTGTGCAGACCCCACCATCCTGGCCTCGCTCTCCAGCATCTTTTCTCCAGTGGAAGATTAACGGGACGCTGAAGCACCCCATTGCTCTGCTAGCATAAATTGCAAGAAAAACATTTAGAATATTGATTAAGTGCTTCATGCTAGAAGATTTAAATTTACCTCCTGTATTTCCAGGATTAGCTGACATAATGGGGTCAGTCTGCTGGCACAAATGATTTACAGAACACCCATTGGCAGCTTTCCTTTTAAAACTCAACACTTAAAATTTCACTTTGTCCCGGCCAGCCTAGTCTTAGGTATTTAGCAGATTTGGATAATCGCTTTCCTGCCCTATCTAGACTTTTGGGGTTGGCCCCTGGGAAGAGTTGCAAAATCATTTTCAGTGTGGTCTGGCCCCATCTGGTACAAACAGATTTGGTTGGGGTCTGAGGAGGGATCAGGCTGCTCTTCCAGGATGAAAAGTCTTGTTTCAGGTAGAGCTGAGTTTCAATATTCTAACATCTAATATTCAAATTTGATACTCAGAGACAATGGTCCCCCTTCTCCAGGGTTTTCTTGTTGTTACCCGTGGCCAACCACAGTCTGGAAATACTACCTGCCTGTAGGCTAAGGTAAAAGGTATCAGGCTTTTCTGCCCTCCCGCCATCAGGATAGATGAGGGAACCCTGTGATCCTGAATGCATGCCTGATGGCGGGCTGGATCCTAGAAAACCTGAAGTGGGGATACCTGCGCTAAGACTGTGCTTTTAAGGGCGGCATCACAGGGATGCCAGAAGCCAAGAAAGCAGCAGCAGAAGCCGAAGAGAAGCTGAGATCACCAGAGAGTCCAGATAGAGTGAAGACTTGCTGGGGGCTGGGAGGCCTGCCAGCCTCCCCGCCCCCCAGCACCCCTGCCTGCCATATGCCTGGTGAGCCCCAATAAAAAACCTGCAAAACCACTGAGAACTCTGACTCCTCCTTTACCCGGTCTGCATGGGATCAGAAAACCTGCACTGTGGCCTGTTCCTGCCCCTACACTGCCCTAAGATATTCTGAGAGACCATTTTCCCATAATTTTTATTATAGTATGTTGTTATAATTGTTCCAGTGTATTAGCCTTGTTGTTAATTTCCTACTGTGCCTACTGTATACATTAAACTTGCAGGTAAGGGACGACTTCAAGGAGGAGTTCAAGGAACTGTTAGGTGGTGTTTAAAATGGGCAAATCCCATTTGTCTCCTGCCCCTCCTGCCAATATAAAATCCCCGAGACAGAGGCTGCCAAGTGCCCGGTCCCTTTCTGTAAGCCTCCAGCTCTGCTCAGGGAAGAGCAGGAACTATACTGAAGCTTCCCAGGGAGGCCAGGGCGGTGTGGACCTGGCTTGAAATCCAGAGAACAGACCAGGCTCTTTGTTCCAGGTTGGATGCCCATTGCAAGGGACAAGCAGGTCTTCGCAGTGGGACCCAGTCTGATCCCCAAAGTAGATGATGCCGTTGTTAAGGGGAAGAGGCCAGCTGTCCCTGCTTTGCTGATTTCAGCAGTAACATCTCACAAAGGCTGTCTGTTTGGACCCTGCCCTCATCTCTCATATGACTGAGAAGGCTGTCTTGCTGCCTCCCTTCTAGAATGCAGGTTAAAAGTTCCACTAGGAGGAGGGGAGGAGACATAGCACTTGAGATCTCCAACTGCTGGCCCCCCAGTCCCTCTGCAGACTTGTTTCATTTGGCTCCCATACACACACATACATACACAAGCCCAAAAACTCTGACTTGGAATGTGACCTGCATTATTCTAGAGCTCCCAGACGGCTGACAGTATCCTGCACCGGAAAGTGAGGCCTGGCTCCCATTCCACCAGACCTTGTCCTGCCACTCACCCATTACATATCCTTTAGGGAACAGAGAGTGAAAAGGGCCAGGGGTAACTTTCCCAGGTGCTAGCCCTCGTCCCAAGGCCCTGTTCTCCAACCTGTATAATTTTTTTCAACCATGGAAATCAGAGACCTACAAATGCGACTTTAAGAAGCCTTCGCTTTAAGCCACCAGACTTCAGTGTGAACGGTGATGCAAAATAGAGACTTTTCCAGCATGTGCTTATATCTCCCAAAGATATTTACTTTAAATAGGGAGCAAGTAGAGTCCATTTGGTTTAAATACCCTGAGCTTTTTCCAGCAACCGCTCAAATGCACAGAAGATGAAATAATTGGTCGAATGATTTATGTTTCTTTATTTTTCACGTGACCACTTTGACAAGTCAAAGGGATATGCCAACAATAGCACAGCCTGCGTCACGCTTGTTACTAATACGACTGCCAATTAATCCTGACATGGGAGCTTGGCGGGTTACCCAAAATCTGGTATTTCATCACCTTAGGGGGTTAGGACTTGGACATTTCGATGACATTTTATACTAATCAATCACCTTTCCTTTTTTAAAGCTGGGCCCTTCACAGGAACTGCAGAGGAATCCTACAGACACCACACACAGGGCCACCCATTTCCCCAAACAGAACTGTGTTTGGTTTGTTGATAATTACACTTGGAAGCCGACTTTTGAAAATGTTTATTCTTATTTCTTTCCTTCCAAGGGGGAAATCTATCTCAAATGTTAAGACAGAAACTCAAGTCCCTGAGAGTTTTCTCATATTATTGTATATTTTAAAATATTACAAGAGGGTGCTTCTCGAGGGAAGTGAACTTTAGAGCTGCCAAAGATAGTTGACTTTCTCCAAATCTGTTACCAATGGATCCCAAGCTGGTTTAAGTCAGTTCTATTCTGAGTAATGACACATGCAGCTGGGACCAACGCCATTCTGAGATATTTCGAGGACCCCCTGGCAAATGGTAATTTATCTGGAGACAGGCAGGCAGGCAAAGGAAGGACAGATGGGGAGAATAAGTCTCCCGGGAGCCTTCCCTGAAGCAAGAGTCCTAAATCAGCCCCGTGACCACGTTCTCCAGGTGAAGGCCTGTCTCTCATCACTTGATCATCCCCTTTTCACATCCCCCGCCCCCACCTCCAACGATTCTTTCAACCATTTTTAATATAGGTCATGCTAAAAAAGTCATCAAGGCAAACAAAGTTCTACTGTTAAACTTTCAGTCTTTCACTGGTGTCTGCTGGAATGCTGGCATGAAGAAACAGCCTACAGTACGAGCTCTGGATTGCCCTATTCTTCTAGGCGCTGTCTTCAAGAAGCACTGGGGTGGAGATGTCTATCTCTGGCAACTGGCTTCTCCTTTTCTATTCCTTCCACCACCTCCAGCTATAATGAGGCATGAGTGACAAATATTGGATGTATTTAGGGTAAATAACATTATATTAAATAACATTATGTAGTCACTGGGGAAAAAGATGTGGCTCCCTCATTCCTGGGTAGTTCTACACCTCCATGTCCTGCTCTGCAGGGAAGTGAAGTGGCAGCTCCCAGGGAAGGCTCGTGCCTTAGTTTCACTCTGTGCCTCTGCCCCATCACTAACAGTGGAAGGAAAGGCTCTGCTTCTTAGGACAGAGCTCACGTAGCCCTTGGTGTTGCCAGAGCAACCCTTCCCAGAAGAGCCCTCTCTGCAGGGAGGGGCGGCTGTGCAGGTCTGTGCTGGAAGCCAAACAGCAGGTGGCCAGCCCATCACTGCATCAGGGTAGGTGACCGTGTTGGGAGCGGACAGAGGATGGAGATCAGCGAGCTAGAGGAAGAGGGAGAAGACAGGTGGGAAAGGAAGCAAGGACATCAGAAGTGGGAAAACCCTCCTACTTTCTAAAGTCAAGAGAGCATTTGGCAAAAGAAAGCTTTGGTGAGGCTGCTCTTTGGTGGGGGAAGGGAAGAGGATACAGGGAATTCGTTCCAGTGACAAGGGTGGTGTGGCTGCATGCCACTTGGTCCACACCCCCAAACACAGGAAGACCACGCAGAAAACTCAGGCTTCTAGATTCCTGCTGCTGGTTCTGTGACTCACTAGCTTCGCAGGCTGAAGCAAAAGTGCTACTCCCTTGAGTCCCCATAACCCCAAATGCAGGAGTAAGACAAACAATGCTAAAAACATAGCAGCACCCCCCAGTGGTCAGGAGGATAACCCCAAAGAGACAAAGTGTGAAAACGCTTTATGAGCATCTAACACATACGTGATGTCCCACAAAGAGCAGAATCCTCATTGCTATGAAGAGTTCAGTGAGAAGGGAAAAAATTCGCTTGCGTTGAGCAAATTCAGGGAACTGCCACTGTGGTTCTGCTCTTGGAGACCTGAATCAACCCAAAGACGCCTCTTGGCCATTCTTACCAGACTCTGTTCACACCAGGGGTTTGAGCTTTTTCTTTGTTTCCTGAAGAATGAACCCCACATAGACTCCACATCAGAGTTAACACTTCCTAGTAACAGCACTCCAGGGACCTTAGGGTAATATTCCCTGTATAACTCTATCAGCCGTGGTGGCGATAAGCCCCGGAGGCCTTCTTCTCAAAACACCACTGCTTTGCGGCCACCACAGATTGGGCACAGACAGGCCAAAATGACCAACCCAACCAGCTCTACCACCCCACAAACAGAAAGATGGACTCATCCACACAGCCCCCACATTTTACACAGGAAGGTAGCAAAGCCAATGACTAGTGCCTGGGCACCAAAGCCCCATCCCAGGAGCCAGCAGAGTCAGCCCCGAATCCATCCTTCTCTCTACTCCACGGCACTTCCCAGCCTTCATTTTTCATGGTAAAAAAACGCCTTTAAGATTCAAACCCAAGCAGCGCTGGATCATTGTCATCAATCTCAACATGGCTTTCAGAGAACAACCCTGCCTTCTCCCAGAAGTGGTGCCATCGGGGAGCTGGGCCCCACTCTTACCTGCAAATTTGCACAAGGTGGCAACACATGAGTGGGGATTTCATTCTCGGACCCTGCTGGCCCCAGGGGCTTGTTCTTGACCCGGAAGGCGCTGGTGGTGGTGGCAGTGGTGGTCTGAACTGGGAGGGCAGGCTGCCACACAGTCACATCGGAGCCATTGCCAAAGGCTTGAATTGCATTTTCTGCAGTAAAACAGGAGGAAATCCAATTTCAAAGTCAGGCAGCAAATATAACAGACAGGATACATGAAGCCAGAGAGGCACGCTGGAAATTCTGATTACAGCATTGGACATCTCTGAACAAAACCCATCCATCCATCCACCCTCCACAGGCTGAGAGCCAGCCATGGGGTCAGGTGCCCCCAAATCAATGCATTCATTAAACACTGAGCTGGACACTTAGCTATGCTCTAAGAGCAGCAAATATTTATCATGTTCCTATTTATGTGCCAGGTGCTGAGCAAGATCCTTGTTCTGAAATACTCCTCAGTCCAGCCTTTTGAAACTCAGCCTCAGACCTGTGATTTGGGATCACAATCACTGTTCTATCTTCCAAGAAAATCCTTATGCTCTGTCAAAACTCTATACTAAAAGCAAACTAATTAGTGCTTTTTTTTTTTTTTTTTTTTTGAGTAACACATCCTTCATTATGAGACTGAGGCCACTAGTGACATCACACTAATTTGGCAAGCAATAAAATCAAACAGTTAAAAATGTGATTCATGACCACAGACCACCTACTATGAGCCAGACAGCGTTCAAAGTACGAATGTAACCAGTTCCTTAAAATGAAAAACCTGCCTCGAACCTCATCAATGTAGAGTGTAAATTTAAGTAAGATTGTTTTTCCCTTTCTGCTCCCAGTCTTCTTAACAAAATATGCATAATTAGGTAGGAACAGCCCTGCTTAAATGAAAAGTTTAAAATGTAAAACTTTAAAAGCTTATTACAATTTCGTGGGATTAGATTGTTTTTATGGCAAGAGTAAATTGGTTGTGTGGCGTTCCCCTTCCCAAAATGAATAAAAAACAGTTTTTAATCAGGTCCTCCGGGATTTGGCTTGGATTTAGGAATTTTTTATTTCATATTCACTGTATAAGAAATCAAACTCCTCCATTTGGGACCTGAATGTGCAAATTGTTAATATATGACTCTTAGCTGGCATTTTTCGATATACAAGACAGAATAATTTAAGCCTAATCTTCCTTTTAGAAGTGACATTTTGTTCTAAAATTGTTATCCTTTAAGTTCAGCAAATTGGAAGCTTGTTTTCTGAAACTTTACATTTTTTAGGCTGTAAGAAACAGCTTCAAATTAATATAAACGCTTTTTTATGCTCCTAGTCATGTTACATGGCTCAATGGGAGGGAGGGATGGAAAGAGAGAGCTACAAAGGGGAACCAATTTCCTTGAATGACCCAAAGTGGCAACAACAAAAAAAATAATGAAATCTTCCTTCTCCTTGTTAAGAAGTATAGATTCAAGAGACCCTTGCTAGGTACTGAAACTCCCTGAGTTTTCTAGGGCATTTGCCTCCCACTTGAGGAAAATTCCACTTATTCATCTGTCTGTCTATCCGTCCATCTGTCCATCCATCCACCCATCCATCCATCCATATATCCATCCATCCATCCATCCATCCATCCATCCATCCATCCATCCATCCCATTGTCTCTGGAACATCCACTAAATGCCAGGCACTGCCCTATGGTGAGGCTGCAGCAGTGAACAATGACAGCCTGAGGAGGCCACTTTTTTGTTGGGAGGCCAGAAAGAAAAATTTACAATACATTCAGTGGCAAGAGATGTTCAGGGGTGTTTGAAACAGGGTGTTTGAAGCAGGTGGATTTGCAGTTTAGATAACAGTGATGCAGGGAGGTGAAGGAGGCATCTGAATAAAGACTGGAGTGATAGGAACTGGCATCTGACCTCTCTCTCCAGCTCATGCCTCTTCATCTTCCCATCCCATCTGCCATGCACTTTGGCTTTAAAGTAACTGTTTCCTCCCCCAATAACCAGAGGGAAGTAAGGTTGGAGCTGTGTTCATGATAGGGGGATCCAGGCGAGGTTTGGTTAATCTGAAGGGAGCAGGAAGGAGTTACTGCATTTGACTTGAAATCTACAAATTCCAGTTCCTTCTACGCTAGGGCTTTTTGCAAGAGACTGAATTTACAACCTCGTGTCTTTGGTATGCTGTGCCCCTTCTAATCAAGGTATAAACAGAGTGACTATGAAAAATTCTGGCTGGCTTTGGTCCCTATTGAGGACCAAATGCATTTATTTTTATTGAAAAGTCATTAGCAATAAGATACCAGACTACTCTTCCCTTCACCGAAATATTATTAAGCAGAGACAATGTTAATTTCTCTGTGAGGGAGCAGATCTCCTGCTATGATCTTTTTTCTCACACTGACCTCTTTTGTCATTGCTTTATCTTCATTAAAACTTGTATCCTGCCAGAAGAATGCTCAGGGTATGGAAAAGAGGATGCACATATTTTTTAAGTCAAAACAAAATAGGAGGTGCTAATTCATGGTATACCAATGCCTTGGTGAATGTCTCCACACTTGAGGCTAGTTCAGTAGGCTTGAATTTTGCTTAAGGATCCAAAAGCTTTTTTAAGTTTTAAAATGATCAAGCCTTTGGTTACAGTCACGTTACCCCAGTGCCTAGTGAGCAAATGACTCAGATATTTCTTTTCAACAAAGGAAATAATGAGGAGGTTTTAGTAGTAATTTAAAAGCTTTCTATGTGCATGTGGTTGGTGGATTCTTTAGAACTGAATCACTGTATGGCACAGCGTCATAGAGAAATTGTCACTTGAGGGCATGGCCTTTGAAGGAGTGGTTGAAACTTGATTTCTAGAATCTTGGTCCTCCAGCTCCCACCAGGAAGCCACCTGGCCCCTGATGATCAGGTAAGTGTTCTTGTCCAAGGGTCCGTCCACGTCAAGCATGAAACAAAAGCTTTTTGGGGGACAGAAGAAGGAATTCAAGTTTGCATCCCATCTCTGGCACAGAAGGATTACATGCATACCAGCCTGTTACTCAATGTGGAATGGAGATAATAAGACCTACATCTCCTAGGGTTTTTGCACAGATGATAATATACTACACCCCTTATCGTGTGAGTTTGCACATATAGAAGGCACCCAATAAGTTAATGGTGGCTTCCCCAAAAAGGGAGTGAGGTTCTCCAGTGTCTCAGCTAGCTGCTCACCTGGACCTGCACTCCTTGGTGGTCAAAAGGGGAGCCCAGCATGGTGCTTTGGAGTTATTCTATGAATACTTATTTTTCACATCATGCATTTCCTCCTATCACTCTCCCTTTGGGAGACATGTTTCCAAACTGCCTAAAGGACACTGCAGTAATAACCCATACTGTTTCCAAACAGGATCCCTGCAACACCCCCAGAGCTCGGCTAGTCTCCCCAGATAACCACCATCCCGAGGCTCTGGGTTGCATCACCAGCTTATCCTGCTCAAGAATCGCTGTTTCGCCTCTGAGCCATCCTTGAACATCCAGGGGGCTGTTGATGTTAGCATTCTAATTTTTCTCAGGGAGTCCTTCGAGGCTTACCCACATCTAATTTGTCTGACTTTCTCACATCGTATATTCCTCCCAGGTTTTAAGAACCTCTGGAACAGACATTGTGCTGGTTGCCAAGATCAAAATTTGATCTGTGGGCAGAAGTATTTTTTCCCACATAATGCACCCTCCATTATTTGAATCTCTTGCTCTCTCAGGCCTTTGGCACTGCAATTTTGACAGCACCTCATTCATTACTTGCTCCATTCCTGCTGCATTACCCAGGAGGCAAGGCCAAGAGATTCACCACCACAGGTCAGGGGAAAGACACAACCAATGGGGAGGGGCAGCTGGCTAAAGTTCAGAGGGGCAAACTTGCCCAAGGCTTTGTTTCCTCTTATAAAAACACTCACTAAGACAGGTGTTGTCCTTGAAGAAATTCAGAAATTTCAAGCACTCTTCCAGGTCATTGCCACTATTGTTGCAGTCACACCAGGGGGCCACGCTGAGGCTGCTGGAGTCCACATAGTTGGGGGTCATGACTGTACCTAGAACAAAAACTAGGTGTTACTCTTGTGTGATGATGCAGACTTTTCTCAAACAAATGTCACCCCAACGGACGCACTGAGGATAATAACCAACACTGTGTTTGCTGAGTGGGAAATTATGTTAAGCAGAGCATTTTCTCAGCCATTTATCTTGAGCACATAAAATAATTTACACATTTACTTTAAAAATTAGACCAGAACTCCTTGAGTTGCACTTGGGTATTTTTTTTCCTGCACCGATGGCAGGCGTGTCAAGGAGTGGGAGAGAATGAACTCAGAATGCATGCGTTGCCAAGTCCCTTGCATTTTCTTGAACATGCCATTAATCTTCATAAATAGAGAGAAGTGGTTCTACATTTCTTATAAATCCTTTCAGGACTTTGACTTCACTTCTGTGAGAAGCGAATGGTTTCCCAGAGTTACACAGGGAAGCTCAGAAACGATCCTTTTGGGTGACTGAATGTATAGAACGAGGACTCTGCTCGCCAGACACTCAACTGATTAACTAAAGTCTTCCAAGTTGTGAAGGAATTGGCAACAAACAGTGGAAATTCTCTAATCTGGTGTCTCCTAGAGTATTGTCTCAATAGCCCTCAGACGTCCTCGAGCAAATGCTGGGTGGTCTTTCTTGCCTCCATCCTCTGTGCTCATGGTTTTTTCTGATGAGTTCTGCACTGGCACAAATAAACAATACATTGAGACTTAATACAACCCAAATGTCTTCTTCTGGGTGGCTCACACCAGGCAATGCCTGCTCCCGCCAAGAAGCCTTCTGTTTTTACATATTTTGTAGAAGTAAGAAATAATAGGCGGTCAATGATATGGTTGGTCACAACAGAAAGAAACAATTTCCTTGAAAGCTCTTCTGGGTCAAGGGCGTATCTCCTTTGCCCCACCTTCCTCACTGACTTTAACGAAATAATATCCCAATGTATGGTGGGATAAGAATTTCAACTAATAGCAGAGAGGGGAGCTCTGGACTTCGGGTGAGAAAGAAAAAGGTACACCAAAATTGAGTGAAGAGATTAAGATGTATCTGCTAAGCACCCACTGTTTGCATGGCACTACTGTGGACCTTTGACATATGGAAGAATTAGGACAAGCTTTGTCCTATAGGAAGTTAGAAACAGTGGCCAGTGTGGAGGAAGAGAGCCAAGTCCAAGAGAGAAATAAATTGGGTCTGCAGAATGCACTGTCTCAACCAGTTGTTCTGTTAATTGGGGAGGACTTCATCACTGTCAGGCATGGAAGGGTTTGCCAAGCCCAGGATGACTCCACGGAAATGCCTGGCAGTGCCAAAGCCTTGGCTATTCACAGGATTTCATGAGCCTGGACCCCTGAAGAACAGGGACTAAAGTATGAGTAGCGATTACATCTATGAGTGGATCTGAAGACCCTCCACACAGTCATTTTTGGGCTTTTATGTATATTTAAAAAACACAAAACTTTGTGCAATAAGCATGCATTGGTTAAACCTGCAGTTGATAAGTAACCCACTAGAGACAAATTGGTTTAAGGAAAGGGGAAAGTGAAGACACATGTGTTATGCTGACTTAAGGAAGCCACACTCGTAGGGCACATCCACAAACATCTCCAGAGCTGGTGAAAGGTATGATTCAAGGGAACACGGGGAAACTAAAGCTGATATGAGTGTGTCAGCACTGGTAACATCCCTGCATTAAACTCTGACCTTGATTTCCCTGGTGGCTCTGGTTGCAGACAGTCTGGTGACAAAGGCTCCATTTGTGCTGTTCTTGGTGGGAAGCTCTTCCTGCTGCGTGACTTGTGAGCCTGGCTGGGCCACCCCACTCTGACAACCGTGATGTCCCTCACCCGCACAGCTCTCACTAGGTGTTCCTTCTTAAATGTCAGTGTGATGGAGCCCTGGGCTGCCTTCCACAGTGCCAGGTACCCGCGCGGCCTGCCTTTCCTCCTGGGCACAAGCCTAGCTCGCTGTGGCTCTCTCCCCGCCTGTGTCTGGTTTGGCTACCCTGTTCTCCTGAAGCTAAGAACCTGATTCTTCTGAAGCCACAGTCTTCCCAGGAAATACTGTTCCTGCTGTGTCTGTTTTCAGGGAAGGAGACAGATTTTAGGCTCAACCACCTCCTGCCCACCAAAAGCTGAATCACCAAGAATGTGAATGAGAAGGAGGATCTCAATATTTAGGGTTCATTCCCAAGGGCCATTTTTGGGAAAGAGACAGATGTCCTCAGGCTGTCTGACTTCCCAGTGCCAGGTCCAGGCACCGGGCTGCAGGGCTCTCCACTCCTGCCACAGGCTTCCTTTCCTACTCCCGTCCTGCTGGTCCGCTCCCCACTGAGTGGCCTCGGAGCCTCACTTGCAGCCCCGACTCTCTCATGACCCATCTCTGTCTTTGCCTTTGCTCATCCATGAGCTTATTTCTCGCTCATTTTTTAAAAAAGATTTATTTATTTAGGCATACAAGAGCTGGGGTACAGGCCAGAGGCGCGGGGGGTGAGAGGATTCACCAGAGACAGAGTGGGGAGCAGAACAGGCAGACTGACCAAAGTACACTGCTGAGGGGAGCAGCAGGCAAGGCAGGAGAGGTCTGCTGCGCCGTGTGGGTTGCTTCCTGGCTGGGAATCGAACTCGTGCTTCAGTGGCTGTGGACAGCTTCCTAGGTTGTGTCTTAACCCTTGTGCCAACAGGGAGGCCCCTCGCTCATTTTTTTATAGGCAATTCCTAAAGGGCCTCACATCAAAACGCCAGTGCAGAGGGAGTTTTGTTTTCAGACAGAGCCTGCTATCGTGGAAAGAGCCTGCCTGTGTTCCTCCCCATCCCACTTCCCCCAACTTACCGATTAGCCCCGAGTAGGCCAGGAGGCAGTCGGCGTAGTTCTCCTTCAGACAGCTGCTGACAGACCTGGACTCCGGTTGGCAGTTTGTGAAAAAGTCTGCAAGGCGAGACCTGTAATTGGAAGAGCGTGTGAAGGGGGCGCTTTAGAATAACCTAAGCCTCTGCACAGATAGGACTTGTCTTCATTCCTTCGCTGATAAGGACATTTTCCACACCAAAAAAAAAAAAAAAAAAAAAAAAAAGACAACCCAGAAACCGTGAATTCTTAAAATGTTGGCATCCTTTCTTAGACAATTCCCCCAACTGTCCCCTCTGAGCCCCCAGTCCTCACCCAGCTCTGCTTGTGTGGAAAGAAGCCTTCAGGGCCAATAACTGAAGAAATCTAGATGCTTTGAAGTTTCTATTCAATATTTATTTCTGACTAGTCTTATTTGCATCTCTAGGAAATATGCTCCTCTTCACACTCACCGGAGATCCACACAGGGAAAATATTTACTTTATACAGAAACATGTCCCTGGCATCAAAATAGGATCCTACAGCCCATCTGCTCCTGTAATTCCTACTGGCTTTAAAAATACATGTGTCTGTCTTGTAAGCAGTCTCTCATCCATCAGCCCAGGGGCCAGTGATTTATTCCAGCCAAGGGACACCGAGGAGGAGTTCCAGAATCCAAGAGAAGGGTGAGAGGGACAGGTGTCCCTGGCCCTGAGTTGGGTTCCACATGGTCTGGCTGGGTATGACAGGCCCGTGGGTGAAGCTGGTGCCTGGCAGGGCCACTGATCAGAACGCAGAATGTGTCTGCTGTTTGGGGACTCTCTAGGGGCCAGTGCTGTCCACCGGAAGCCCTGGGTGGGGGTGAAACTGCAGAGACAGGAAGTGAGGGAGGCCACAGACATGCTGGCCTGGGGAGCATGAGGGCTCTGAGTGGTCAGCCACATCTTGCAGTCTGAAGAGAACATTGTTGGAGAAATCCTGAATGAGAGCTGGCCACCCTGAGGTCATCGCAGCAGACAAGAGCTCTGTTTCTATGCAGGAACACAAAGGACTTCATGAGAATTTAAATTCCCCAGCAATTATGAGAGACAATGGACAGTTGTCTCAGCTCTTGTCTCTCAGCAGCCTGAGTTGACAGCCAACATACCCAAGGCTCTTTTTACTTCTTCCCACCCAAGAAACTGCTCAGTAGCAGACTTTACGGTCTAAGTTTGTGTGGGTGGGTAGAGGCAGGTAAGCTGTGTGGAGATGACTAAGGCTCGTGAAAGGCCTGCAGGAAGTTGGTGACGCGTCCCTTTACCACAATTGTAACCAGGGAGGCATTAAAAGGCCCGATGAGATAATCCAAGCCTCACATGCACATGTGCGGGGTTCAGTGGGCTTGGTCTCTCCTTGAACCCTTGTAAACAAGGCATCTGAGCCTCCCTATCTGTGCCGATCTGTCACTCCGTATGTCTGTCGTGCGCCTGGTTCCATCACTGTGTGTCCCCAGGGCAAGCGCTGGAGCTCTGCTTTATTTTCTTTGCACAGCACCTGATACTCCTCCGAGAGGCCTTTTACAGGGCTCCCCAAACAGGCCTGTGTGCTGGAGCTAAGTGGCTTGGCAAAATCTGCAAATGAGGCTGTGTGTGTGCCTGGATCTCACCCACAGTCTCAGCCTCGCTGGTGTTTTCCCACTTTAATTGAACACACTGAAGGGCGGCAAACCTGGCTGCTTGCTGTAGCCTGGTTAAAGGATTTATTTTTCAGAGGAAATCCCTAAAGGTGGCTCAGTCTTACTCAACTGGCTCCAATGGCATCCAGCTTGGATTGAGTGTTAATTTCAGGAGAATTCTCCTGGTCATGAAAGTTAATGATCTCATAGTACTGAGCTTCTAACTTTGCAGAGGCCAACACGGTTCAGGCAGCTGGGGTTCCAGTTCCACACACAACCGCATCAGCTCTGCCACCTGGCAGCCCTGAGCCCCTGGCCAGTCCCCAGGGATGGACAGAAGGTTGCCATCTCCAGTTTCTCGTGGTCTCTCGCGCTGACTATTAACCGAGCAGTGCAGTCAGGGGGATTACTGTCCTTCAGTGCGGAGCTAATGCCACCAGACTCATTTTGCTTAACAACCTCAGAATTGACTCACAATTGTACCCTGGAATGAAAGGCTAATTGAGTCAGTCTGGTGCGGAGAGCACAGCCCTGATTGGGAGGATAAAACTAGACATACTGCTCTGAGCATAACCCTGGACAAGCCAGATTTTGAGGAGATCATCGGCATCAATCCCAGACACCAGCACGGCCAGCGGATGGAAAGAGTTTCAAAATAATTATGAGCACATGCAGCATTGCTACAACACGAACGTGATTCCTTCCCAGGACCCACCTATCTTCCACTTTTATACTCAAGACAAGATGGTCACTGCGTCGGAGTCACACTTTACAGACAGAAAAACCAAAGTCAGAAGTTTAAATAGTGGTGTGCTGGACCCGCTCTTGACTGGTTGACTCGTAAATTTCCAGGAATTTGGGCAATTAGTTCAGATCACCTCAGTCGTGTGAAAGTGGCTTTGGAGGGAGTGTTTATACTGAGGTCATCAGCAAATGCTATAAATCAGGGAGTTTTGTGTTGTTCTTGGAGGACCAGTGGTTAAATATTTGCCAGCACAACCTTGTTTCAAAACCACTATGATGTGGTCTGTCCTACTGATAAATCATAAATCGTGTCTTCAAAATTCAGTCCCAAACCTTGTGGTGCTCACTTCCCTTCCCATCTCAGGCAATTTTGGGTCAAATGAAACGGTGTCTTACTCACTAACCTCCAGTCTTCATTACCTCCCAGAGAAAGAAAACAGCCCTCCCCCAAAGATCCTTCCTTCCCAGCATTGTCTACTCTTACCAACCGCTCAAAGCAATGTGTGCAGATGGTGACATGTGTTGACAAAACAGATGAATTCTTGTCTGTTCCATTGAATGATGTGTCGATTGCTTATGATATAATGATGAATAAGTTCCCTGTCCCTGAACTTAAATAACCTGCAATCTAGAAGCCAAAACAAACAAATAAAAAGATTATAATAATATAGAGGCTAGTTGGTAATACAAGGTAAGAAAGACTTCTAATAAAAATAGCTAATGTGAAAAAAAGTATTTCCTATGTTAGGCATGTCTTTACACACTTCATGTTTTTTTCCTGACAATGCTAACAAGGTAGGATCTGTGACTTTATTGTCTTCATTTTACAGATAAAGCAGCCATGGTTTTGCAAGTTTAGTCATGTGAGTAGTAGAACCAGGATTTAAAACCTCAGATTTTGATCCTACAGCTTAAGATGTGATGGCTGTGCAGTTACAGAAGCTGGACCCAGAAAGGCCATGATATTGGGGCTGAGCCCAGAGGATGGGAAGGAGCTATGATTGAAGGTAGAAGAGGGCACTCTAAGCAGAAGGATATTCCAGGCAGCTAATGACAAAGTAACCACAGTCATAACTCCAGGGGACCAGTAAAGGAGTGTTTGCTGTGCCTGATCTAAGTACTTAACGTGTAGTCACACATTAATTCTCTCAACTATCTTAGTAGGTGAACCGCACAGCCCCATTTTACAGATGAAGAGACTGAGGCAAAGAGAAATTGGGTGATTCCCTCTGGGTTATGCAGTTCTGTGTGGAGCCTAACATCAGAGCCGAGTTCCTTCTTGGTCACCACACTGAGCACACACACCATCCAGAAAGAGCTCATTGATTATTTGGGGCAGCCAGGCCACTGGAGGCAAGTGGTGTTGCATGGAGCCCATGCTGGTGGTGATGGGAAGAGCCTTGGGTGACCTAAGAGTTTGGCTTTTATCCTGCAGGTAGTGGGAACCACTCAAACATTTTAATCAGATAAATAACATAATCATATTTGCATAGTTGGAAAATTCTTGGGTCTCTCAGTTGTTGAGCAAAGATTTGCTGAAGATTTACTCTGTGCCCTCGCTGTGCCAGCAGGAAGGGGTGAGCAGAAAGCTGGCCAAATGTGGGAGGGACAGTTACTTAGAGATGGATCACAGTGGCAGAGTGGGCAACTGAGGCTGGAAGGAGAGGAGGAAAGGATGAAGCGTGGAGTGAGGGGCTCCCACTAGGATGAAAGTCAAGACTGCAGAAAGGAGGAGGGAGGTGGGCCTCCCTCATGGCACAAGGGGTTAAAGCACAGCACTGAGAAGCTATCCGCAGCCTCTGCAGCACAAGTTCGATCCCCAGCTGGCCAGGGAGCTACCCACATGGCTCAGCAGACCTCTCCTGTCTCTCCTGCTCTGCTCCCCACTCTGTCTCTGGTGGATCTTCTCAAACCCCTCCCCGCCCTGTACCTCTGGCCTGTACCCAGTTCTTGTATGCATAAATAAATACATCTTTTTTTTTTTTTAAAAAAAAAAAAAGACAACTCAGCAGAGTTGTGCCAAGGAGGAAGACACAGGAGAAGGTAAACCTGCCGGGAAATAGAGAGGTGGCTGTGTCCACGCCGAGTTCCTGGCACCGTGGAGAGCCAAGTGTTGAGGAGGTTGTTAGCGCCACCATCTTCATCTGTCTGGGCACCAACCACAACCTGTGCACGGGCCATGCCCACAGTCCCAGCATCCCAGCCCCAGAATCTTCCCTGCCCACCTGCCTTCACATCACCTGCAACCTGCCTCAGCGCCCTCCCCCACAGGCTGCTGTGACCCATCCAAAAAAGCTTAAGTGTCCAGTGTGGGATAATCAAAAAAAATCCTACAATTGCATTTCTTCTGGAAACACGAAATCTCCACGACTACAGGAGTGATGAACCTGATTGTTTTTCTCTGAGAAAATGGTAAGGAAATGAATAGGCACTAATGTAGAAATGCATCTCCCTCCAAAAGAGAAAATTTCCTACCCTTCAAGAGAAGGAAAAAGCCGGCAAATGCCAAGTTAGCCTGAGGAAATCTGCTGAAGAAAAAATAGTGGTTTATGCAGAAAAAAAATCCTGTATTAAAGGGAGCATACTGCTAACTGGAAATAGAAAAATGATTATAATGATAAAATCTAGGAGAGTCTTCTCAAATAGCAGATGGTCTTTTTGACAGTGGGGGAAATCATTTACCTACTTCTTTTTGTATCACTTAGGAAAACAGTGTTA